AAAAAAAAAAAAAAAAATCAATAGACAGATATTTGTATGCAATTTATAGCCTATATACCAACTAATATCGTTTGTGGTAAATTCCTAGAGATTGCCTACATATTTCCTATAATTAAGATTTACCTACAAATTTTTCTCTATCGTATTTACCTACGTACATTTATTTTGCAGGTATATGACTAGAAACTGTTTTTTGTGCTTATCGTTTTTCCTTTTTCTTCTTTTTTTTTTCAACAGGTGAGACATCACCTCGTGCTTTATGGTTTGATTTGCAAGAATAAATAAATTCAACTTGTGGTCATCGTCTCGTTACGGAACCATTCCGTCGGAATTTATATGTTAGATCATCATGTAACCGTTGGTTCTGTAACAAAATCATAAAATCTCCCTACTTTTCATTTCATAACACAAATTCTTGTGTTATACACCTATACATTTTCAACCGAAAAAAAAAACAAATAAAATAAAATAAAAATTGCATATTTTAAAAAAATATAAATATGTACATTTCATAATATACATTTTCCATGCTCTGACGGCCTCTCCCTCTCTTTGTCGGATCTGAGAGTTGTCCTCCTCTCCCAGCCTCCGGCTGGGTCAACGTCGGCGCTCTCTTTGATAAGTGACCTACTCCGGTGCTTTGTCAGCAGGATCTCCAGATTTCAGCCAGTCCCCTTCTTGCAGTCAAAGACTGGGACGATGATGGAGTAGTCAAGCTCCGGTGGGCAGCCGAATTTGGTGTTCTAGTGGCATGTTTACCCTTCCTTTCGAAGCCTTTGTTGGGACTGAATCTGACTCCAAATCTGACAAGCCCTCCCGAGTTAGGTCGGAATGTTCGGATATGAAGCCTTGATTTGTGGTTCTTTTTTCTTCATACGAATGGGTGTTTAGCTTGTAGCCTGGAGGATTTGTAGGGACGGTTTAGAAGACGAGCATCTCCAACAGTGAGAATGTATTGGTCATCTGACTGAATGGAGTTTCATGTTCATAAATGACTTTTCAATAGTATAGAAAGACGTCTAGATTTATTTTGTCTCTTTCATGCCAGATCAGCACAAGTGGAAACAAAAAAAACATGAGCACAAGTGGAAAAAAAAAAAATCACATTTGGAGAAGCTTTCTTATCACACTCTTCTAAATTCCATAATGGAATACAATTGTAGATTCTCTTGTAGTCTCCCACGTGGAGTGTTAGTTTGTAATTGTTGGTTTTATTATCATTAATAACTAGGAATTCTCAATCGTGCGATGCACAACCGGCCCAACAGATCTGTTCTTCCGCTAAAAAGATCATGTAGCTAAAATGTTTATTCTCACCTTCAGTCCACTTGTAAGTCATTTGATTTTTTTTATTTTTTTTTTTAGATGCTCCCTTAGAATCCATAATCATCAACACCAAGCTAACCAATTGAACTATGCATAGACAATACGAATGAGTAAAATACACATATAAATCATGTCTTAAAGTATTATATATCATAAAATTAAAAGAAAATATAAAAATCAATATTAATATTCAAAATTATTATTATGCTAGTCCTATGATCATTCTGTATTTTAGTTTATTACACCATTTATCACTATTGCACTGAGAATCGGAGGGGTATGTACTAGTTTTCACTAAACCATTTTCCATGAAAAAAGATAGAAGAAAATGAAACATGAAAAAGAAAAGAGACAAAGCAAAAAAAAAAAAAAAAAGCATGATTTGTGTGCTCTCATATACATTGGTATCTACTTTTGAATACAACCGGCGATTGCTATTTGTTGGTCTAAGGCAATTCGGAATCGGAAGCAGGGCCCGATCTCCTTCGCGTCTTGGGGCTGACGCTCAAACTCAACAGATCCTTTTCCGAGCTCATTCTCATGCCCCGCCCGCCCGGAGTGTGCGGTGGTCTTACCGATGATGACCGCCCCTTAGGCGTACCTGCCCCAAAACACCGTTATTTATTAACCACAACAACTCAAATATTTTCTTCTTATTTCCCAAAATAGTGTGAAAGTTGGTAGATACCTGGTTGCTTGATCTCCAACGACTTTCTGGAAGAGAGGGACAGCTTCCTGAGCGTGGTCTCGGGCGACATCCTGCTGGTGGGTGACATGAAGTGATCGTCTGCCCTTTCATCTCCCCCATCGCTCCCCGACTCTGAAGTCTCCCTCTCTCTTGCCTTCTCCCTCTCCCCCACCCTGTATGCAAACATTTCGTACGGCACCCACATCACCCCGCCATTACCGTAACACAATCCCCTCCCCTCCACCTCAGTACTCAAATCCACACCTCCATCCCCCTGCCCGTGCTCCGGGTTCATTGCCAGGAACCGCTTCGTGTACCGCAGCACCCGGCACACCAATGCAAAGCTCGGCCGTCCAGCAGGGTCCGCCTGCCAGCATCTCTTGGTCAGGTTTGTTACACACTTGGGAGAGTGGAATGGGAACAGAGGCCGTTCTCCTGCCCTTATGTTCCGCGCCGTCTTGTCCCCCTGCAAGTGCGTGTCCTCGAACGGTACTTTGCCCTTCACCAGCTCGAAGCATATCATCCCAAAGTTGTACACATCCGCTTTTTCACTGTATTTCGCGCTCGTCGTCCCATTTTCATATTTCTGATCATGCTCGGCCAACACCTCAGGAGCGTACCAAATGAAGTGTGGTGGTGCTCCATTGGTGGGGTTCTTCTGGGTCACGGACGATGAGAGCCCGAAGCCAGAGACCTTGGCTAGCAAGTACACGTCAGGCCCCGTGTTCCGGGCTTTGATTAGAACATTGAACGGGTTCAGATCCCCATGGTAGATTTTCTTCGAGTGCAGATACTCCATTCCCCGGGCTATCTGGAGCATGAGGTCGACAACGATGGGTAGGGGGAATGAGACTCGCTTTCTGGGCCCACAAATCTCTCTAATGTAGCTCGACAGGTCCCGATTCATGAGCTCCATTACCAGGAAGCATTCCTTTCGCTCCTCATCAGCAAAGGCACATAGAATGTGGAGTACATTGGGGTGGGAGAGGGAGAGCTCGGTCGAGATCTCGGGACCAGCGCCTCCACCTCCCCGTGAAAGTGCCTCAACGCAAAACTCTCCCCAAGCCACTGGATCTCCTTGTAATGGCTCCCATTCCCTAGCCGCCTCCTCACCTGATAATCCTTGGACCCCACTAGAGTCGAGCTCGGGACCAAAATCTCGTCCCCCATCATTTCCGAAAAGTTGTTGTTACACATCAAATACCTCATCAGCATATCCGCCAGACGGTGGTCCCGTTTGGAGGACGACCTCTTTTTCTCCTTAATTTTGTTGAGCAGAAGCCACCGGTCCTCATCCCACACTGACCCAATACGCGTGCAAAAATCCTGCGAGACCAAATAATGATCGCCGAACATCATTTGAAAAACGCGCGGATCACGCACATCCTTGTTGTACTTTGCCGAGTAGACGAGCTTCCTCCTCATTATGTCATCCTGGTCAGTGCCAGATATCTGGCCCGCCATCTCTATGGCCTCGATAGCTGTGGGAATGGCTGTGAGGAGGTTGTGCACGTAAAACTCGATGCAATCGGTGCTTTGGTAGAGGGAGATTGCTTTGGCCCAGAAGCTTTTGGTCTCCAAACACTGCCTTATATAGGACTCTGATTCCCGGAAGGTGCGGACGAGCTCGCGGAGAGGATGCTCGACGACTTTCCATTTCGTGTTCCTTTCTTTGAATTCGAGGTTCTTTCGCATGTGGTCGGCAATCGTTTGGTAACCGGACGCTAGCATGTCGGCCAGGAGGCGGCATTGCCTCTGGTTGAGCATGTTGTGGTGGAAAACCATCAAAGCGTTTACGCTCCCCACTACTTCTCCGATGTCTGAATTGATCCATTCGTCAGATTTTCCCTCTCTTTTTTTATTTAGTTGCTATCACTACGTACAAATCTGAAAACTTTCATGAATGCGACAGCAAATATGGGATCGGCTTGCATTGTTTGATATTTTCGCATCTCTATGAAAGTGGTGGAATTGGTTTTTGCGATCTGTAAAAACAGAATGGTTTGCTAATGCAATAAAATCTGGAAATTGGATGATCAAGATGGATAAATCTATTTGCAGTGTACTCAAAAAAAATTAAAAAAAAAAGGTACTAGAAATGGAATGAAGAGAAAGAATATTAATCCAATACATGTTGTTATTTATTATTATTATAATTATTATTGGGAAATACTACAGTTCGTTATGGAACTATTCCGTCGGAATTTGTAACCGTTAGATCATTATGTAACCGACGTGTATAGTTGATCTAACGGTTACAAACCCCAATGGAATGGTTCCGTAACGATACCGTAGAATCTCTTTTTTCATTATTATTATTATTATTATTATTATTATTATTATTATTATTATTATTATTTGATGAAGAATATATATGTTTAAAATTATTATAATAATAATAATAATAATAATTATTATTATTATTATTATTATTATTATTATTATTATTATTATTATTATTAGTTGCTTGGATATTAAGCTAGGGTTGAGTTTGAAACCTTTATTTAAAGGGCTCTTCTGTTTTGGTAATGGAGGTGAATTTGATGAATGAGAATATGAATTGATCGTGTTTCTTTCGGGAGAGTATCCCGAGTTCGAGAGAGTATCTCGTATTGTATCTTTTCCCATTCGTTCACGCTTTCGCTACATCATTATTGTTGTTGTTGTTGTTGTTGTTGTTTAATGTTGTTGTTTTGTTGTTTTGGTTCTTACATGTTTGTTTTGCATGAGGTTGAATAGGTCGAGCTTTTATTTTTCTCCATGCTATTTCGAATCATATTATGGGGAGATGCTATAGTCTCATTACCGAACCATTTCGTCGGGTTTCGAACCGTTAAATCAACTATCCCCGATGCTTATATGACGATCTAACAGTTACAAATCCCGAGGAATGGATCCGTGACGGGACTGTAGTATTTCCCTTATATTATGGCCACTTTGACAGTTACAGGAAACTACATAACTTGTCTGATTTCAAAAAAAAAAATACTATCTCTTATTTTTAATATATGTCGTTTTGAAAAATTGCACGTTAATTAAGAATATTTTTTTTTGTCAATAACCTTATTTAAAAGATAGAGATGAATGTTTCGGAATAAGATGAAGAGTAAATATGAAAAGACGTAATGTGTTTATTAGTTAAATGAGGGTAATAATGGAAAAATACGTACAAAAGATCCAGAACACATTTATTTGGTTAATAGTTGATAAAGTCAAAATGACATTAAAAAAAATAGGAGGGAGTATGTAATTTGATCAAGAAGTTGCAATTTAAATTTTAAATCTCCAACAATTTCATCAAGAAGTTGCAATAATTTGATCAAGAAGTTGCAATTTAACTTGTCTGATTTCTATAACAAAATTATTTGTTGTATATAGAAGGTTGGCTCCATTACGGAGCCAACTGTTGGGTTCACAGCAAAATCGTGTGAGTGTTATGTTATGTACAACTCTATGTACATTTATTATGTACTTGTAGCATTTTTCTAATAATAATAATAGGAAATGCTACGGTTCCATTACGGTATCATTCCATCGGTTGTTTTAACTGTTGGATACACATATACTTAACATAAGATAAATGATGTAACAGTTAAAAACTTCCCAATAATAATTCCCTTGATCCCTTAAGTATTAAAAAATATTTTTTAAAAAAAAAGTTGAGACTACAGCACTAGCAAGTGTTCAATTTCTGAATACCCAAACTGAAGGGGTCCTACAATATAGGTTCTCTCATCTCAGGAAGATCAGAAACCTATGCTATGCACTGCAAGTGAGAAGCGATTCTACCGTTGGTGCAGTGTGAATTAGAGGGAGAAAGAGGAGGAGATGCAGTGGTACGCCGTCGCTTCACTACTCACCATCCTCACGAGTTCTCAGGTTCGCCCTTTTCTTTTTCCTCTTGGACTATTTTATCTCGGAATTTGCGAACGAACCTTGATCTGTACGTGTGTTCTTGTATGTACCATCCTTAAATTTCTCCACATGTTTCGAGTCTTTCTGAGTAGCGCCCCCCTTTGTTTTGCTTGATTTCGGCAGGGAATATTGACGACATTGTCGCAGAGTAATGGGGGATACAAATATGATTATGCAACTGTGCCTTTTCTTGCTGAGGTTTTTAAGGTAACAAATCTTGATTGTGGATTTATCATTATTTGTTAAGTTGCATTCAGTGTTGGAAGCGCTCGAAAAGATTTTATCTTTCAGTGCTTATGTTTTCCAATTCTATACATTTTACTTGGATTTCCTCTGCAATTGTGATGAAATGCAGCTTATAGTATCAAGTGTGTTACTGTGGAGGGAGCGCCAGAGGATGCCTCCTCCGAAAATTACAACAGACTGGAAATGTGCCCGACTGTATCCAATCCCGTCGATAATATACCTTATTCACAACAATGTCCAGTTTGCCACATTGACATATGTTGATACCTCCACTTATCAGATTATGGGCAATTTGAAGATTGTCACGACTGGAATACTTTTCAGGTTCTACCCGACAGCTCACGCCTGTCTATTGGTTCATATAAACACCTGTAGCTTTAAAGATAGGGGCTGTGTGTTACACTCTAATATAGTTGTTGATTTTCAACAAATTAGCAGATAATGTAATTTCCTGTTTTAGGCTGTTTTTGAAGAGGAAGCTTTCTAATTTGCAGTGGATGGCAATTATTCTGTTGTCTATTGGAACGACCACGAGCCAGGTGTTGGTTGGATCCTTTTGTTTTCCTTTTCTCTCTTCCACGTTTAATAATGGTAAAAGATGAATTGTTTCTAACTATCCAGCCTTAAATATGCAAATTTATAGTATGATAGATAAAGGTGGTCTCAAAATGCACCAGGAATGTAGTTTAAACTCCTAATGGACCATGAATACATAGAGTTCTTTGATTGTATTTTTCAGTAGTTGGACATTCTTTTTCCTCCCAGTCTAGTTGTGACGATTTCTGGAGAAGCGACATAGGAGTTTGATTGCGCAATTGATAGTTATTTCTTACTGTTTTTTGGCTCCAGGCAGCTCTTATAGCTGTTCATGTTAACAAAAAAATCGTTTTAAATTGCAATTTGTGTTGATCTTCATTATAGGTGAAAGGTTGTGGAGAAGCTTCCTGTGAATCGATCTTCTCTTCACCAATTCAAGGATACATGCTGGGTTTATTATCTGCTTGTCTCTCAGCATTGGCTGGTGTTTACACAGAATTCTTGATGAAAAAGAATAATGACAGCTTATACTGGCAAAATATTCAACTGTATACGTGAGTCTCCTCCAAAGCAAAACCCTTGTTGCTATTACATACTATGAGTGCACACTTACTGGATATGTTATATTGTTAATTTATTCTTTTAGTTATAATTTTAATTTGAATTTAGAACTCGGTCAATGATATTTAGTATGTTAACATGTACCAAGAAATTTTTGCATCTCAGATTTGGTGCAATATTCAATTTGGCAAAGCTCATCTGGGATGATTTTAGAATTGGGTTTGAGAAAGGACCATGGTGGCAACGGTTATTCGATGGATACAGCATTACAACTTGGATGGTGGTGTTAAACCTTGGGTCCACTGGTTTGTTAGTGTCATGGTTAATGAAGTATGCCGACAATATTGTTAAGGTACCTTTTTCTAATAATTTTTTTCTTTCTGTTAATGGATTCTGGGTTCAATGTCTTCTTCTTTTTTTAAAAAAAATAAAACGAAAAAAATAAATAGAATCTGAAAGGTACTTTGGTTGCCTTGGCGAGTCAGGAATTTTTTTGACTCAGTGTTATAGGGTGGAAAATTATTCTACTAAGTTCGTATGCAAATATTGGAGAGCATTATAGTATTCGGTTAACTAAACGTTATCATTTCACGACTTTTGAAGACCATAATATGCATTCTGTTTCCTAACTGTATGTACAAGACCCGATTAAAGGATTCCAAGAGAAAAAAATAAATAAAAAATGCAATAATTTTGTTCTGGAGTGGGTTTATAAATGATCTCAATGATGGACAAAATAAATCATAATGTTAACTGTTGGATTTGCAAGCGTCATTTATCGAAATTATCTATATAAATCCAATGGATTTGTTATTATTAATTTAAAACAGTTACTCTGATCATCAAATCCACACACAATCAAATCCACATACAATCTAATTGAATATATCAGTGTTATTAATGGCGGACGGCGGTACATGGCGTTTTGCCAAGATTCCGCTATTGCGGCCGCCGTGGCGGTCTATGGCGCCGCCATGACCGCCATTGTTCATAAATTTTGCGTAGCGGATTGTTAAAAATCCGCCACGCCATACCGCCATGGCCGCCATTTGATTAACACTGGAATATATGAAGAACTAAAACTATTAATTCAATTCTTTTAAGTTCAATTTACTTCATCTTGTGTGTAGGAAATCACAAGTTCATCTTATGTATCGTTAAACTTGATCATCGAGAATTCATTGAGATTGTGCAGATCTCCAGAAAGTAAATACAATAATACATTCCAAACATCATGAATCGTAACTTTGCAGCTTACAGGAACAGACCAAACAATTTTTAACCCTGATATGTACCAACCAAACCGAATATGTAAAATGCTTTCTTATTGGCAATTATACTTTTGATGTTCTTTCTTTTTTCTTCTCGAACGTCAAATGAAGTAAATAAAAGTCACTGACTTATTCATATTGGCAGGTTTATTCCACGTCCATGGCAATGCTGTTGACTATGGTACTGTCTGTATACCTTTTCAACTTCAAGCCAACTCTACAGGTTGATGCTCTACTCTTCTTTCTGTTCATGCATAAGATGCTGTCTGTGTTTTCTACTTTTCCTTTAAATTATTTGACTGATATCTACTCCAAGTGTGTGTTTTACCAGATGAGCATATTTTCCCATCTTAACGTGGTGACTTATCCATCATGATGTCTTGAAATATGAAAATGGTTTTGCCGTTTTAAGCCCTTTTACTGGATATTTTACTCCCTCTGTGATTTATTTTTACAGATCTCACCTGTTGATAGGGTAATTGAAAAGTCGTTGGATTTTTATGTAACTAGGCTAAAGTTAAACCCTGTGCTATAATTTGGTTATCACACGATGATATTCTCCTCTTTTTTTTTTTTTTTTTTTTAACATGTCATGTATTTTGTCCATGTACGTGCAGCTATTTCTGGGAATCTTCGTCTGCATGATGTCATTGCACATGTACTTTGCCCCACCAAACATGCTTTTGGATTTGCCTTCGACAACAAAGGCAGACCCAGAAAGTCTAGTTGAAGTTTCTGTCGATCGGAAAACGGTTTCATAGAGAGACCCTTATAAGAAAAAAAAACAATTCTTTTGGGGGTTAATCTGTCTTATCGAGATCATCAAGCCAGGTATTACTTTCGAGGAACATGTAAGATGTATTGTCACGGCATGTTAGGTTTTAGGACATGGAAGGCAGAAGTAGTTACATTGACTTTTAAAACAAACATCTGATAAAATTGATGGAATTAAAAAAGGCCTCGGTATATCGTAGTCTTGTTCTTTTATAGAATTAATCCGTTTAAATTATCCTGTACATGTTGAGACTGTCGTCTACTTCTGGTGATAACAGTACGTCTGAAAGATTTGACGGTATTTCTTGTAAAAACTGTTCATTATCATAGTAATTACAGAAGTTCCTCTATGTCGCTATTAGTTGCTGCTTTTGCGGTGGCTAAGACAGTGAAAGGATGGGTGCATTGCACATTTATTTTATTTATTTTTTGTCAAACGAGACTTCATTAAAAAGCACGTAATTACATACTAGAAAACAACTGAATTGTCGAATAAATCAGCTACTCGGCTGAATTCAATTGGGAGGACTAACTCCATAGGCAGCTAACCGGAGACAGCCTATAACAACCTAAATCTCAATATGGTGTTATATTGAAGATTTTATTTGGGACACACACACACACACACAGAGAAAATATTTAAAATATTATAAAAAATTGATAGAATAGGTGTATCATGCGTATCGCCTTTCCCTGGGCATTCATATAATATGCTTGTTTGTTACGCGAATGCAAAGAATGATAAGGATATGATGGATGTCTTATTTATTTTTTTATTTTTTATTTTTTCCTTTTGTTCAATTATAGCTTCACATTGTGATTATTTTACACCGAAAATATTATCCGATATCTTTTTTAAAAGCTAAATTATTTTCTTTATTCTTAATTTAAATATTATCTCTCATATATGCGCTTTCAAACAATATTATGTCGTCATTATAATTTTTTTTACCATCTTTTCAACTCTTAATTCTGAATTAAAGGGTCATTTTGAGTGGGGTAACTGCACATACTGAGAAATGGTATAGCATGAGTAATGTTTTCCTACCTACGGTGGGCACATATTAATATGTCCACCGTCTATGTGGCATTCACACATTGGTGATGTAATTTTTTGAACATATTAATATCACCAATGTGTGCATGCCACATGAGCGTGGGCATATTAACATGTGTCCACCGTGAGTAGGGGAGCATCACCCTCCATCTGTACATATTAGCTACTATTAATTACTTAAAATGCGTATAGCGTAATGCGCCGCTTTTTTATCTTTATACTGCGAAGCGTAAATAGCGTTGCGTGTTGCGTAAGATATTTGGGTATAAATTATTTTTTATAGAAATATTACAAGTATATTTATATATAATAAAAATGGATGGTTGAGGTATGAACTTTTTATTCTATACTTCAATGTCAAATGTAAAAAGTGAAATGATATAACAAAAATAGACCAAAAAATATTGCACTATTCTACTTAGGACTTTGTATTTTCCAACTTTTAATGTGAAATGAATATCACAATTTTTAGTTTTTTATTGTCATCTGTAAATATTACTCTGATCCCTAAAAAATACGAGTTTTTGAATATTTCATTGTTAAAATGTCGTTGCAGAAATATATTACAATGTAGCGTGAAATAGCACAAAATAGCGTAAGAATGCGTCCCGTTTCAACATTTCGTGTAAACTTTTCAGGAAAAAAACGCTAAATATATAAGGCTACGTCATGTTTTTCCAAAAAAAAAAAAAAAAAGCTACATAACGAGCTATTTACAACAATGCTTTTTAGCTACCATTTTAAAGTTTATATAACATTGTCTCCTAAGTCATTCTAGATAAACATAATTATTAATGACACATTTTAATTTTGAATACAATTGTTTCACATCACACCACCTTCATAATCAATAATCACTAGACTTAGATAAGTATTATTTAACATGTCAAAATTTTATCCATGTAGTGTGTTTTGCAAAATCAATCATCCCAAAAGTTATTATTGCATCATCTCTTGAGTAACTCTCTATTTAATCTCCGCCATAATTTAATTTAATTTATTTAACCTACCTCGAGAACACCACCAATCACACGCCCTCCCTTGAAATTGGACTATAAATGCACCTCATGTGAAAGGAAAAAGATCAGTAAGTAACAAACAAGATAGCCAAAAGCCAAAAAAAAGAGTGAGAATAATGGAATCCATGGGAAGTCCTCCAGCAGCAACTCTTACTGGTAGCCGCGCCGCTGCCGGAGCAAATGGGATGGCGGCAGCGGTGTTCCAAATGCCACTGCACTACCCAAGGTACACACGTGTGGAATACGAGTCGATGCCCGAGTGGAAGCTTGATTGCTTGTTGGCTCAATACGGCCTGCACGTGGGAGGAGACGTTGAACACAAGAGGAAATTCGCTATGGGAGCTTTCTTGTGGACTTGATCCAGAGAATGGAATGCTCTTCAAACAACTTCTCCAGTTGGTTTTCTTTTCCTTGGACTTTTTAATATAATCAATCAATTAATCGGTCTTGAAATATATAGAAATGAGCATTTTTTTTTTCTTTTTTTCTAGTTCGACTTTGTATTATCATTGTTGTTTTTAACGTTCGGGGGTCAGCATATAAGTATAAAATGAAGACGCCATGTGCATGTCGGACCATGTATCTCATCAAAACTGGCTCGAAAAAAACTATTTTCAAGAAAGCTAGGAGATGGCTTTACTGCATCGAGTGTCTATATTGCAATGCGAACTTGACGGCTTCGTAAAACGAAACTACGATCCCGACTGATGGGCCAGCTCGGGCTACTCGAGGGCCCGCTCCCGTAAATAACCCCTTAAAACCTCCATCCCTGGTATTCGCAAGCAAACTTATTAATACCCATTATAAAGAGAAGATTACAGAGTCCATCTAAGGAAAATTATTTTCAAAAAAAATGAAGAGAAAATCTAATGATACCTCCATATTTCAATCAACGTCTGCCGTGTGGTCATCGTCAATTGTCGTGTCCGATCTTTCTGAAACCCCAAAAATATTTATATCCTTAGTACTACTTATCAAGAAAAGGATGAACCAAATAATAAGACTAAAGCTAACTCAACGTTGCTGATCAAAAGCACGGGCTCGCGTTTC